AAATGCTGTTTACCGATAGGGGAAAACCAACTAAGATGCGGCCGCTTCTGGGAATAAGAATTCTGGCGCGAGCTCATGTCACTATGTATACGAGGGGAAACTTGATGAAGGCTCCCGTCAAAGAAGGTCCCAATGAAGTCGCAATCCAAACTCTTGCCTGCGATTAGCACAACTGGTAAACTCAGTGCTTCCGTGATGATTTGTCTGGTTGGATGTGGTTTGGAAGGAGGCAGAGCCCATGCACAGGACATGGACGCTGGAACTGCTATTTCTGGTAATCGCTTGTCCTGCCATCCACCTGCGGTGCTTGTCGAGAACGTGCTAGCAGCCACCAGCACGAAAGATGTGCAATGTCTGCTGAATCAGACTGTGTGCCGAACACCAAACAAGTTGAAGCTGCATCCCTACTATCTTCAGGTGCAGACACTGGTGAGACAGCCAACCGAAGGCCCGAACACGTGTTGCAGCCTGTGGGAGTTGCAATGATGTGGGGTTTGGCAGGCCGTGCCAAAGAAGGTGGCCTGCGATTTGGTGAGATGGATTCTTGCCAAAATTGCGCGTGTCGACTGCGTTTTGAGCATTGCATACTTCAAGCCACTGCCCGTGGCCAAAACAGCTAAGGAGCGTGACTGCATCATCTCGCACGGAGCGGCCAAATTCTTGAAGGACGCGTCAACTCATAGTGGCAACTTCCACTTGCTAATGCCTGCCAGAGGAACGACTCTTTGATGTGTCTGATGCGCACAGAGTTCACGTGTGCGACAAGCAAGCGACCTACCCCTCATGGCATGCCTACCGAATTGCTGCCTAGAAGATCTTTGCATCAACCCACTGTTTGCGAGGTGTGGACTATTTGCAGTTGCACGGCTGAGCAAAGACACCTACGAGTGCAAACTCTGCAAGGACTGCTCCTGGTATATTGCGTGCAGGCAGACATAGATTCGCCTCTGGATAAGAAGTGCTGAGGATGCAGCGAGAGTGTCTCAGATTTGCCTTCCGTGCGCACAGCATCACTTCTCCTAGACCTGAAAAGTGAAGCTGGCCATTGGCAGATTGGCAGGTATGCCTGCAAGCTCATGATCCAAGAGCTGATGACCATGAACATCCTCCCCCGCCTGACTTTGGTTGTCCTTCTCTCAGACTCGGTTGTAAGAGTGCAGAAAGATGGACGGCTGGGAGAAGCTTGAAACAGATACATGCTGAGCTAGCAAGCTGTGATCTGAGCATGTGCTCTGTCCGGAACTTCAAGTGATGGACAGGTGCAGTGACACTGCAGCCGAGTGAGTCGTGGCCTCCCTCTGCGGCTTCTCAGCTTCTCCCTCGAACCCGCAAACATGCTAAGCAGGAGCTAAAACGCCAGATGAGTCCAGAACGAAAGCAAACATCGAGCTGTTAGATGCCTTCTAGCGCGCTGTGTGCTGAAGGCTAAATGCCAGACTGCCCTGATATGGGTCCGGCACATTTATGGGAAAAGCCTTCAGCAGTGCCGGAGCTACTACTTCATGTTGCAGCCAGTACTAGCATAGCCTAGTAAGAAGCGCAGTTTCCAGTCCAGGATGCTTCTGAATCTTGACCGAAGCTATATCGTGTGGTTTGAGTGATGCCCCGGTGCCACATGGTTGGCTTTTGGCCGAAGCTGTTGGCTCTTGACCATGAGCCATGATGCAAAGAAGCATGCAAACAGGAGCCTGAAAGCGGCATCCAGACGGCAATTCCCAAGATGCTGACTTCAAACTTCAAACAGCCCAGTAGAAAACATGGCGTCCAAGCTCAAACCTGACATCCACGACATGGCAGAACCCTGATGGGCTTGCAAGCCCTGCCCCAGCCACTTGGAAGCTGCGCAAAGCTGTTGCGTAAGACACTTTCTTGAGATGATAGTGCTGGATGTAGAACTGGTTACATCAACAGGCACTTAGGTAGTTTTCTGGTCTTCAAGCTGTCTACAGGAGCTCCAGCTATGCCAAAGGAGTGCCAAGTTGAAGGTAAAAAATAGTTCATGTTCTGCACTCCCAAGGAGTTGAGTCATGGTGAATGTCCTCTGGGGCCAGAGTCTCGAAGGGTTCGGCAGTTCTCCTTTTGTAGCCGAGACAAGCCCTCAACCTTCAAAAAAGTACGCCGAGGTATTGCAGCAATGACACTGGATGGGCAGTGCACAGCTGCAGAGGCGGGACGGGTCCGTCCAAGCGTCTTTATGCAGCCAGGCGTCCTATAAATGCAGTCTGTTTATGGCTGCAATCAGCCAGTCAGGCATTAATTTTTGAGGGCTTGGAGAGTCTACCCGCGCAAAAATAGAGAGGTTTGTACTTTGTACTGGTACTGGCCAGGTTCTTGCCAAATTCAGAGAGGCGATGTGCGAGACGAGCATTGATCCCGGGAAGGCTTTGGTGCCTGCATTGCATGACTTGTGGCTGGTTGGCAAGTTATTGCCCGTCATTGCAATGATGTGGGGAGGGGGGGAGTGAGTAGCGGCCAAGCAGTACACATCAAAGTAGCTCACCGGGTATTGTTGCAACACTCGGGAAGTGGACTCCTCCAAGCAGCTATCAACCCCACACCGCTCTGCCAGGCCAGCTTCAAGCAGACCATTGATCTCTACCGCCTGGTCCACCCACCGCATGAAGAGACTCTGATGAGCGCATGCAGGAAGTGCGATCAGGTGCCAGTGACGGATCACGTCAGCGGATTGGCAGATCAGGTGCTGCACTTAGCTCTTGAGATGGAAGGCGCTTCGCGCATGAGGCCTGAGAGTTTGTAGATTCTAGAGTACATGCAGAACCTTCGGGCTTGGGGCTGGACCTTCCGGATGGCACAGAGGGAACCTGTATGGCTCAATGCCGATGTGGCTTCAGAGTTTGGACTTCCAGAATGATGGAAGGAAGATGCTGCAAATTCCAAAGGCGTCGGGGGTTGGATGTTGGCATGAGAGGGTTGTGACGGGGACGTGGACCTTTGGCAAATCCCTGAGGCCTGAGGCCTCAGCAAATCACAAGTGCTTGGCGGCTTGGCAGCTGCAGTCCATGACCCGACGCGTGAACAATGTAAACTGCAGGAACAGCTTCTCGTTCATCTTCCAGGGTCTCGGATCACCTGTGAAGCTATCGAGGACCGCGGAGCTCTTGGGTGGGACAGACTGTAGATGAAAGCAGTATGCATGGAGCGCACAGGCTGGAAAAAAGTCTGGCGTTCGATGAATGTACAGCCAATTCCTAGAGCACTAAAGGTGACATGGACATTGTTACCATCAGATAGTCCCCCGCAACAAAGCTGCCGTAAACAAAGGCGGCCTCGCAGTAGCGGAGAGTGCCGTGCTTCACAAAATCCTCGTGCAAGAAAGGCTTAGTGCATGGTGCAAGTTGGCATGAAGATGAGCCAAACTAGCTCCAAACAGGCCCTGAAAGATGTTGCTTGATCAGTCGGCTTTCCCAGGAGCAGACAGCTTTGAAACTCTTCATTCTGCGCCCTACGGTAGATTTCTCAGGCGCACCAGTTGGTGCACAGATCAGCCCATGTTGTAAGTTGCCGAGCGAGCCCCTGCAGAGAGGAAATGACACCGAGTAAGGTAGGCTGGATGGATGGGATAACTCTTGCATCTGTGGCTAGAAGTCTGCCATGCTAGTCTGCGCAGACATGTACCCCGCTCCTCTGCTTGAAGCTTATGTGCCAGCAGCAGAAACTGCCATCTGCCGCCCACGTGAAGGCGTCAGGCCACGATTGGCTGGAAGAGTTGCTAAGTTGGCAGGATGTATATCGCCAGCTGGAAGAAGCAGAGCTTCGCTACGAGCGGACTCGGGAGCTCCGTCCTCAGCTCGCGGAGCTTCTCAAGCGATGCTCTCAGTGATATCGGTGGTGAATCTAGCCATGGAGCAGGGCTGTCACAGCGCTGGGCGAAGCCATGGAGTCTCGCGAGGCTCCTGACTTCTAAGCATTAAAGATGGCAAGGGCATGCAAGAGAGATTCCATCGCTTTTGTGTAGTGGAGGCATCTTCAGCTGATGCCTTAGTTTCCAGCCTCAACTTCAGGAGCGATTGTGCAGCAATCTAGACTTGCTGTGAAAGGTCCAGGAGGATAATCTCCGACAGGAGAATGCCAACCTCAGGTGCCTTTGATTACTCGCATGGTTAAGTCGGAAACTTGATCTTGCCAGGAAGCAGCTAGAGCTTCTTGACTATGGGCGCCGTATGGGCGAGCAGCGTGCTCAACTCCACGAGGCCGCAGAGCAGCAGTCTGGACAGTTGGTTGCAGCTTGTCGCTTCCTGAGCTCGCATCCTTTCTCCGACATTCCAGGAGAGCCATGCGCAAATTTGGCGGGAAGTTATGCAGTTTCGACAGCAGGCAACCAGTCGAAACAGGGAGAAGAAGGACAGCTCTCTGCGTTCTTTGCCAGGTCACCCCTCGGCGGCCTGCGGTAGTGCAGCAGGTCAGGACACCAGAGAGAGTGGCTGACGCTTACTGGCTACTGTGAGCTGCTGGCTGGTATACATTTGTTTTGTGAGTCCTGGGCAGGTGGCAGGTGTGCCGTTTGGTCCGGTGCCAACTCTGCATTTTCCTTCCGGCACTGCCCTATACTCAGAATGTAATGGATGTTCCAGACTTCCCCGCATGGACGACTCCGCGCCATGGCGAATGGGTGAAGAGGTCGCGCCAGCACCTCCTATGTCGACTTGTCTGGCAAGCTCCCAACCTGGCCTTTCTCTCAGAAGCGAAGCTTTAGAAAGATTGCATCACTAGTATTTTATTTGGGGGATACGATGGTACCCAATAATGGAGAATCAAATGGAAAATGAAATGGAAACTGAGGTTATATCTGTATAATGTCACACATGGCCCTGCAGGCAGCAACCCGGTAACTCCTCGCACGACTCAGTTCAGGCTGGTTGGCTTTTACAGGCCTAAGAGGTGGCTTGGGAAGGAAGGGAGCCCTGGCAGGATTCAGACCAGAGCTCAGCCAAGAGTCAGGAGCCGAGCATGAGCTTCCTGTCAGGGCGTAGGGCAGATAGAGACTATGTCTTCATTCCAACTACCCTTTTAGGGTTTAGGGTTATATGGGGGTAATATAGGGTTTAATATGAGTATGATGGAAAAGAAAATGGAAACTACTATATGCAGCATGAATGCTGAATATCCAAATGAGGGTTTCCATGGGTTTCCCAAAAATTAGGGGTACCACTTTGAGGGTCTGAGCAATAAGGACTATAGTATTTTGGGGTCTATATTCGGGTCTCCTTATTTTGAAATGAGGCAGCGCCCAGTCCTGTTCCAGCCTTCGGCCAGGCTCGCTCTTGTTGTCCTGGGCAACAATTGAAATGATTTGGGGTTATATCAGGGTTATATTGGGATAATGGAAAACAAAATGGAAACTACTATAGTATATTGGGTTTCATATTGGGGTTATATTGGGATAATGGAAAATAAAATGGAAACTACTATAGTATAATGGGGCTATACTGGCTCCAAGTCATGCAGGCACGCGTTGCCTATGGCGGAGGCTACATCAACGCAGTGGACAGGAGATTATCAGCACAAGTAAGCGCACCCTGGGACGTACAGGAGGTATTTGCTAGTCTCACTTACTTCCGCAGGATTGCCCGAGAACCTCTTAGCGGCCATAGTGCAGTTGGGCACTTAGTTGACGCCCATGCTAGCCTCCGCGCTCCATGGCTGATGAACTGCAGACAAGGCTGCGCCGCCGCAAGTGCCGATGAATTCAGTCGAGCCCTTTGTAACGACAAGATAGTGTCACCTGCCACAAGCAGGAACCAGAGAACGGTGTAAGTTTTACATTTTCCTTCGCTTGATCAAGGTGGGCGTGACTGCAGCGGCTGCGGCAGCGGCGGCGGCTGGCCGCAACACACCCACAGCCAAGGCCATGAGCAATGGTTGGACCTGGTGGGAAAGGTTACAACACTGAACTGCAGATCCCAAGGTCAAGGTCAGCCCTGCCCGGATGACCGGTCCGAGAGGTTGAGAGGGTTTCGCCCGTAGAGCCCTCTTTCCGGCTGTGAAGCACATTCCTGCTTGTTCACGGGAATCCTCGCAATTGCCAGAGAGCCTAGAGGGAACTTGCTGATGATCTCGTCAATGCCAGCTTGCAGCCAATGGCGAGCTTACAAAAGGATGTTGAGGATGTGGAGCTGCTGCTGTTGTGCTGCGATTCCTCAGTGGCTTCGTTCACGTACTTAGCTTCTGATGTGCCTCCATACTGCCATAGGCCTTCGCTTTTTCCACAACGGCCTTTGCACAGAACACCGTCATCGGGCACATGGCTAATACAGGGAGAAGAGGCGATTCGGGCCTCTGGCAGACAGAAAACAGGCTTGCTATGTGACAAACTTCCCATGTATAGATCGTGGCTCAAGCATCATGTCCAAGGTGTCGGCGAGTGATTGATGCATAGCAGCTATAATGTTCATGTGCACTGATATCCGTCATGCACAGCAGTGCATAGTCGAACGACGTTTCGTTTTCATTCAACTCTCGGGCACCTGGCACGCCGAGCTGCAGGCCTGACATAGGCGGATTGCCTCAATGTATGCGACTGGTTGTAGTGCATGTATCATGAAGGTTGCCAGAAGATGAACGACGACTTCATCTCCACGAGCATCAAGTACTATATACTTCATGCATTGGCCCTATCATGCTGCGGCGGTGGGTTGCGTTTGAGCGTAAGCGGCTTGTTCCATTTGTCCCCATGTCCGGCAAGAGCCGCATTTTCCCTCCATTTGCCGTTTCTCCCAAGGCAAAAGCCAGATGCGGCCTCTGCCCCAGATCTTGTGATCGACTGCATATTGCATCGACTCTTCACAAGGAATTGCCGTGTTTGGGTGCCGAGCCGGAGCATGATGTGCAGACAGCGGAGGAACCAAGAAAGGCGTTGGGCAAAGTTGCTGGGCATCGCCCAGCGTAAAGAGGCAAAGTGTCCTCGTGTTCCCGTGTTTTCCGTGTTGTCACAACAACGTTTCCTTGACGTTCCGGGCGTGTTGCAAGAGCTGAGAAGCCTGACCTCATGCGCAATGTACGGGCTTCAGCAGCAATGGGCGGCTGTGGTGCCACAGACGAAAGGGCTTGTGGCGAGGGGGGTTGTGACCAGGTTGTATTTGGGAGAGAAGAGAAACTTGCCAACCCGTTCGAAGCGCCTGCGGCCAGAGGTCGAGGCGATTTTTAGACTAAGGTGTGGCATCTGCGCCAGCAAATGCCAAGGCTCGCTGATCAGCAGCGGTTTGTCGACGCGGACTTGCTATGACAGTGGTCAAAGTGTAGTGGCGTAGTGACGGCGAGCGCAGGCGCAGAAGCCAGGCTCTTTTCTTAGCTTGTCCCTAGCTGCGCGGCGGAGCACGCAGCAAGATAAGTTCTGTAGTACTGCAATCATGTGAGGGTTTCTATAAACTGGAAGTGCCTCTGTGGAGATCCCTAGAATAAGGAATATTATATTCTGGGGTGTATATCTTGGGGGCCACCCATTCAGGGAAAGTACCATATTGGCCACCATTAGTTGCTTGCATCTCTGTCCCTTCCATAGTTTCCTGGCATCACCTAAGGTGCAGCGTCTGTGCCGGTGAACGGTAATGCAAGTTGCTCAGACTTTTACTCCCGTTTCCTCGCAGATTTTCACTTCCAGTGAATGTAGAGATGCGGCAAGGCATCCAAGCCGAGCGCATCACTCAGCTTCTGGACTTGCACATGTTACCTTACAGCGTTTTCAACGGTTCGCCATGATGCCACCATGAGTGAAAACCTTGGCAAAATTCAAAGATTCAGGTGGATGGGGTGAACTTCCCTGGGTTCATTTCGGCGGATTCATTCCTCCCGGCCGAAACGAGTTTCCATGAGTGTAGCAAAAGCAGGTAGTCCAGGTGCCGGTTTCATGCCATGTCAAGCATCACTGACCCTCTCCAAATCATTCCTAATCTAGTTTGCAGGTTTATCTTATGTTTCGAAGCCAATGCGCAACAGATGCACATCCAACTTCCGTGTTGAGCCCCCTCTGTCTTTATTCTGAGCTGGTGCCTGGGAGTCTGAAACGCCACATTCTCAGAAAATGTCTGGGCATGGTGAGGTATGTGAGGTACACCCGCGGGACTTGACTTAGTGATCCCGTAGCTTCCAACAAACGAGCTAGATTTAGCGCTGGTTCTTCGGTTTGCAGAAATTCCCATCATGCTCATCTTCTTTTCAGCTACAGACACTCACCGTTGCGGAGCGAAAGAGAGCGAGAGCGTTAGAACCCTGACATTTGCAGAATCCTAGTATGTTTAGATCATTTAATCATAAGTGCAAGTACCGCCTCACGGCTGAGGCGCGGGGAGGGGCGGGAGGTGGGGGTAGGGGGCCAGCACTGGGGATCTAGCCCTAGTACGGGGTGAATAGATCCAATGGACCCAAGGCTTTAAGGTAGCCCTGAAATTTCGATTCCGCGGGTTGTTCGGACATGCAACCTTGGGGAGGGCCTGTGCTTGTTGCTGCAGCATGTGACGCAACCAACCGGTGTGCCGCTTGTTGGAATCATTCAACCAGAAAGATAGAGCATGGTATCAAATCATAATCAGCATGGCATTAAGGTCTTTGGAAAACATCTTGCCGCAATTCCTCGGAAGTTTGCAAAACGCATCCCTTGCGGGTTTGCGATTTCAGTAATTGGAAGCAACACAGGTGCGCCAGCACCGCTTGCGAACGGCACGGTCAGGTCCACAGCATCGCAAGGCAGAGGGGCCATGCAGGCATCCAGAAGCATCCAAAGGCCTTTACGGGGAGCAACCATACGAGGCAAGAGCCTGCTGAGGTCTCGAACGAGGGGGGCGAGCGCTTCGCTCAGAATCAGAAGGAGGTCCTGGAATTGTGCAAGAGGCACCTCAGCGGCTACTGAGCCCGTATGAGTTACTAACTAGAATAGTAAACAGTAAATTGAAGACTTAAAGATCTCTGAAGTTGCTGACTTGCCTGCCAGGCGATTCTTTTATAGACCTGGGTCTGACATCTATGGCAGCTGGTCGGCAGATCTAATTACTGGAGTTTTTGCTGTCACCCGAGCCACTTAGCCAGAAACACCTAGGTGGCGTTGCTGGCTTCTTTACCTACGGACCTCCAGGGCGCGAGCTTCGGATGACCTGTCGTGCCTAACATCTTCTGACGTCCAAGTAGTTCGAAGGGAACATGGCAGCTGAGGTGTGCAGTGAAGAATAACCTCATCCACGCGCAGCGGCCTCAGCACAAAGGACTTCAGATGATGAAAACAGATCTGCATAGAACAGCATCTTGTGTGCGTAGTGTCATCAATTCATGTGATCCCTTGTCCCGGGCCTTGTCCAGCAAGATCCGCTCTGCTCTCACCTTTTGGGCACTGAAGATCCTGAGCATTGAAGGACAAAGTCTCTCGGAATGTTCCGAAACTTCTTTGACAACACAAACCTGGCGGAAGCAACAAGAAGCTGCAGTAACAGAAAACGGCTCGATGAACAACGATTGGTACCATTGCATGTCACCTGGCTCTTGACATCTGAAGGTGGAGACAGTTCTTTGTGATATCAGAGCACCTCTTGGAGATTGAGGATGCAATTTCAAGTTCCAGCTGCAAGGATTGTTTTTGCCAAGTCCCTCACGGCAGGACACCTGCATCATGCAGCATTCTGTCCTCAAGGCGAGAGTATTGCACCTGACAGCTCTTTCTGACGTTTGTCTATCTTGTCTGACGCCGTTCAGTGAACGGGCATGTCCTCCAGCGATTCGTGAGGTGCAGTAGTTGAGCTTGCCTGCATGCCTGCATTGTCTAAGTTGCACATTTTTTCCAGAGAGGGTTAGCGAATGCAACACGGAAGCCTGCCTTGACAGGATGAATAGAGGACGGCCCTGTCTGAACAGCATCTCCGAAGATGGCTCCTAGCCATGTACCAACCATCTTTTTATGCAGGCTTCCGGCCATGTGGACCGCTTCAACGACTTCATGGCCCCGAGCCTACTGAGCTCTTCAATGTAGCCCAGCAATGCCAAGCATGGCTCTCCTGGCAGCCTGTCTCCTCAGGTGAAGGACGTAAATGACGAGTCCAAGTTCTTCAGAGCTGACAAGTTGCTCGAGGCTGAAGCTGTGCACATTTCCTGCTCCCAAATCACGCACAGCTGTGATGGCCAATCTGCATGTCTGAAGAATCACCACAGGGTCAAGTTGCACGACAGCAGGATGTCATGGACGAGAAGCTCAAAGCCGCTGACTTGACAGAGGCTCAGCGAGTGGAGCTGGCGGCTCAGAGGGGTTCGAAGGGCCATGTGGAAAGCAAAACTGCCAGCTGAAGCAGGTATACGTCTGTGCGCAACCAAGCGGACGCATACTCGCAGCAGGAGCCGAAGACTGCAGAACATGCATGTGCAGTTATAACGCAACATACCAACACCTTACATGCGAAAAGGAGCTCCACCAGATTTTCCAGAAGTAGGGCTTCTCAGAGAGCTATCAGGAGAGCCAGCTACTGCACCTACTACGGTGCTTGCGGGCGGAAGATTGGATAAGACAGACACAGGTTGAATGACTGAGGTACAAAATCAAGTCCCCGGAGACCGGGAATGATTTAAGCGAACCCTACGAGCCACCTGGCTTGCAACTCTGCAGTACTGCAGTGCAGGCAAGGAGGCGGGCAAGGAAGCTGGTACAGTAGGCTGTTGACTGCCTGAATCCTCAAGAGAACCTCAGACTGAAATGCTAATTCGCGGGGCATGTCACGCAACCACGTGGTACCAGATTGTCAAATTGTCGTGCGTTGGCACGGGCTGCAAGGTTCAATCTGATGTTTCCAACTCCCATTGGCCCAGGAGGCTACCTCCAGGCGGTACAGTAGCGCATGTTTACTGAGAGCTGCAGTTGTACAGACATGGCCTGAGCAAATTTTGTCAACCTCTGGAGGGCTATCTGCGGCCAGAGACCGCACAGGTTGGAGCAGACGGTCCAAGTTTTGCCTAGACTCTGCTCTTCACGTGATTACCTAGCTAGGTTTTTCCAACTTAGAATGGCATGCGATGCTAAGACATCAAGCGCTCTTCATCACCGAGCGAGTGCAAAGACTTGGTCCATGCAAGCATAGCAGTAGAGCTGGAAGCTGCAAGACTTGAAGTCACCTTGCAAGGGCATCTTCTTGAATTACAAGTTCTGCCTGGAGCAGAATTCCAATCGACTCCCGTTTGGAGTGGCGCAGGCATTGGCAGGGGTATTCATTGTGGCATGTTGTAAGCTACGAAGCTGAATCTTATCGAGCGCTTGTGCTTGATGAGGTCTCAAGTGTCTCAGAGCATTAACCTGCTTTTGAGGGCTGAAGGCATCTTTAAAAGAATTCTCAAATCCGGTGCATGTCCACAGGTTGGGCGATCTTTTCGCAACGAAATCGCGCCCAGGGCAGGTGCCGCCAAGTGTGAGAAATGCCGTGAAGTCGCGAGTGTACCCCAAACTTCAGGACTCATGGTTCTAATATAGCCCCAATATAGCCCCTATAAACCCTAAACCCGAAATAATCCCTATAATCCCTATAGTAATATAACCCATCATTGACCCTGAGTTTGAGTTCTTTCGGATGCAGTCCTTGAGCAGGCCTTACGCGGCAACGAGAGTTCACCCAAGCCGAGATTGAGTATTTTGTGAACCCGAAGAACAAGGCCGGCTGGCTGCGCGAAGGTCCGCTCCTTCTATGGGGGTATATATTGGAGTCTATAAGGGATAATGGAAAATAAAATGGAAACTAGGGAGATAGTGGGGTATATATTGGAGAAATACTGGGTCCAGCTTCTTTTCCATTGCCCCTACGTAACCCCAATATACTATAGTAGTTTCCATTTTGTCCTTAAACCCCTAAACCTTAAACCCAGAGCCCCCCCCCTGGTAGTTTTCATTCTGTCCATTATGCCCTACATAGCCCCTAAAGCTCCTTCAGGCGCATCCCAAGTTCAAGATGGTCAAGGATACCGCCGCTGCCCCAACTACTCTTACTGTTACTACTATTATTATTGTTGTTGTTGTTACTATTTCTATGATTACTATGTGAGTAATGTTATTCGTATAACTGTATTACTATTATCACAACTATTATCATTATTGATGCTTCTTCTTATAATTATCGTCACTCTTGTTATGATTGTAATTACTGTTGGTACTATTCTTACTCTCATTAGCGTTGCTGTTGCCACACCTTTCCGTTTTGCTGGACACATGCCATGGTTTTTGCGTAGAAGCCAAGCTTAATACTCCGATAGGGTTATGTAAGACTATCTAGGCTTTAAGAGGATCTAGACTATAGCTCATATAATCCCTACATAACCCCACATAAGAAAGACAATATATATATATATGTATATATGTAGCAGTTTCCTTTTCCTCTTCCATTTTCTTGTCCATTTGATTCTCCATTCTTAAGGAGGATACTAGGAGTGTAGACTATAACCCCTATAATCCCC